CACACCCACACCCACATCCACACCCACACCCACATCCACACCCACACTCACATCCACACCCACACCCACATCCACACCCACACCCACATCCACACCCACACTCACATCCACACTCATACACACACACCCACACCCACCCGCACCCCACACCCACCCACATCCACACCGCCACCCCGCACCCACCCACGAGGGGCCGGTTTTGCCTCTTAACGACCTCCCCAACCCCCTCCTTTTTAATGCAAGATATTATATATAAGATTTTCCAAAGTACTTTCTTTAAAAATATACTCGAAAAAACAAAATACTAAAATGATACTTTGTAAAATTATTAATTCCTTTAGTGTTATTGTTTAATTCAATTTATACTTTGATGTCTTTTCCATAATTTTATTTATAATTCAACTCATCGATCAACTTCTTGTGAGAAATAAACAAAATTTCGTTGAAAGAAGAAGAATAGAGAGAAAAGAAATTTTCTATTACATAACTCAATATAAGTCTGAATGATCATTTAAATAAAAAATCCTTATGAGTTTTAGACTAATGAGTAAAAAATCCGTTTTAACTTAAGGATACTAAATTAATTATCCATCATAGTGCATCATTGATATGGAAAATTTATGTGTGGATGGGTTTGAATATTCTTGGTGGGTGTGGGTATGGGTGTATCTGTATTTTCTTTTCCTCCGGACATCCACATCCTGCGCTCACACCGTTTTGGATTCGGATTTCTCTTGTTGAGATTTTCCTTCTTGACGAATTCATCTATAGAGATCTATAGAGATTTTTTAAAATCATCTTTTTTTCCGAGCTTTTCTGGTAGAATTTATTATCAATTTGCTATTTCAAAGAGTTCTTCGGTTTTTGTTGATACCATTCCGAAGTGTTTTCTCTAGAATATGATGTAGAAATGTTGATAAAAAATTCCAAAAGAATAGCATACAAAACTACTCATTCTGAAAGTATCACGTACAAAAATTGAATACATTTCCAATTAGTATCTGGAGTATTAGAGATATATTTGAAATATAGATTACTTATAGTTAGTTCATGATATATGAAATTATACAATCAGATGAATTAATTCTGTTTCTTTTCGATATTTCGTTTCAATCAGAAAAGTAACGAAGAAAAACATGTTGAAACTTTTAAGAAATTAAAATCATTAAGGGTGCTTTTTATGATGCTATTTTTTGTGTGACTTGGATAAAATATCAATTAAATATAGTTTAACAAATTATACATTAGGTTTAAAAAAATCTATTTAAAATAAATGGAAGTTCTTACAATTTATTTTTATTTTATATAACAAGTACGAATAATAATACATTAGATTACTGATAGTCTAATTTATACATAAAGTGTAAATATAATGCATACATGAAATTTCTATTTCTTTTCAAAAATGTGTGTAACTTTTCCAGTTGAAGCGTCGATTATTTGAAGTGATATGATCAATACTAAACCATTTTACAGAGAAAGGTTTTCTCTTTCATCTGGCATATTTGAGCTTATTTTTGTTTCTACTTTGGATGCGTTTTAACAGTCAGATTTCATCCAGTGTCAATATATAGACCTTATAAATATTAGTTTAGGACTCTTAAACTAAGGATTTTAAGAAAGGTATTTTCAAATTCTTTTTAGTTGCTCCAGAAAGTCAACAAGAAGATACGTTGACGTACTAAAATTACTATTCTCTACCTGCTTGCTACGAATAGTATCAAACTTTGTATGGAAACATTTATGAGGATCAAAATCCAATATAAAATGTTTGAAATTTAGAGAAGGATGTCCGGATTGATGTTTATTTTCTATTTAATTTATGCATAAAGTAAAGTATTAATAATATCAATTGAAAATAAGTTTAAATTATTTTTACGTGCAGCTTGTGTTTAAAAATAAAAATAAATTTTATGAGATTTGGACCTACTATGTGGTTTACGAAGTCATAAATTAAATTCAAATATTCTATCTCTATTTGACAATTCATCTCAATAAGAGGCGCAACAAAAAGATGCGTGGAATTATATAGAAAATAAAATTCTGAAAAGTACACTTTTTTTAGGTATTCGAAATGGGTTCATGTTTTCGAACAAATGTGTAATGCGAAGAAAAATCTAACTTATTACGAATATACTCATCTGTTAGACAGCCAGACCCACATTCACACCCAAACAGAATATCATTCTCGCATAAGATTTAACTTGGAAAAGATTAAAAGAATATATTAAATAATCTAACATATCCGAATGACCAGATGCATGACAATTAGTTAGCAAAGATAAAATCTTTCAAGAAAGATTAACGAAAATATACGTGAACGTTTTTAGAAAAACAAAATTCTATTTTCTGTTGTTTATTTTCAAAATAAGTCACGAATACTACAATAAAGAATTTCATTTTCATAAGGATAATCTTTTTTTCTTTTAAGTTAACAATGAAATGTTTGAAATTATCTTTAGTATTTTTTTGAAAAGATTATATACAGATGTAGTTAATCGACCACGCGATATTAATTGAAACAATAAAATTAAACTCATAATAATAATTTGTTTCAAATTATTTACAGCATTTGATCTTTCGGAAAGTAATAAAAAATTATTTGAAATCAGATTTCATGTAATATATTCTTAATTACATTAATATTTATTTTTGATGATTGCATAGTTGTTTCGTTATACCTTGATGAGTTTGAAAAGTATTATTAATTTGTACACTTTCATATGTTATATATGGTTGATTGTTTCTTATCGGTGTCAGCTAAAAGTTGATTCAGCTCTTATTGTTATGATTTTGATACATTGAATGTGGCAACTACTATTCAATCTCTCCAGATCGTTCCATTCTCATGTTATAAGTATTCTTCTAAGACTCGAAATTGACTAACTACAGTAGAGGACAAACGTTGAAGTGCAATTAGTTTTTCTGTATTTTTCTTTTCATATTATGAGGTACAAGTCGGATTTAAATGGTGATATAAATAGTATGAGAGGTCAGCTACATGATGCATTATAGAATGAGACTCTATCTGCCTATATAGATTTATCGTAATTAAAATAATCTTTTTTTTGTATGCATAAACAGATTTAAGTGTCTTCCAGTATTTCACAATTCCTAACGAAGAGTTTTAAGCTAAAATGAAACAAAATTATATCAATCGAGAGAACAATTTCACGTTTTATCAGTTTATTTTAAAAAAAGACTTTTTCTCAGAGTTGATCTCTATCCTCGAAACTCGGCTTTTGTCCAGTTTTGAATACTCTTTCCAACGGCGTATAAAACATTGTAATAAGAGGGAACTTATGAAGGTAATTGCCTTTTTTTCGTTCTGCTTGCTGTTCTCACTAAAACCAAGCTTCGAAGATGAAGATTGACTCTGAGAATAAGTTTTTTATAAATTGACAGAGCATGAAATGTTCTTGGTAAGGAAACACGAAATACTGAAAGGTATTTAAATCTGTTTATGCATAGTTTATACTATCTACGTATATATATTCATAGTGCATTTTCTCATAAAAACTACATAGAATACGATGTACTTTATTCTTTCCTATATAAAATATACTTGTGAATTATTATAATTTATTATATATAGAAACAATTCATAAGGAAACAAAAGAAAAAATCACCGTATACGGATAAATTAAGGACTGTTCATCTTCTTCATACGATATATTCAACAATAACAACATTCATCCAACTATAAACTTATTAAATCATTGACAATGTCAACTATTGAAAAATGCGTTGTTGTTGTTCTTCTGGACGACATCGGTCAAATAGAATAAATGAATATGTTCTGAAACAAACGACAAATTACAATAGTAATTGAAAAATATCATTGACGTTTCTAAGTAGTAACATCAATCACATCTCTTAATTTCGTTTTTATTTGTCTCATCCGTTTACCCGTATATAAATATCGACTTTTCTCCAATAAAACAAGCAGATAAATAAACATTAATATGGAATATTCATGCATCGAATTGGATGATATACCTGATGAAATTCTTCTCATTATTTTTCAAAAATTAGACAATATTGATGTACTTTACTCCTTGCATGGTGTTAATAAACAATTGAATAAAACAATACGTGATCCAATATTTACAACTAGTTTGAACTTTGTCAAATGGTCATCTAACAAATTTCTTAATAAATTATCTTCTAATGTGATACTTAATCGATTTTGTTTACAAATTTTACCTGATATTTCTATTAAAATCAAATGGTTTCATCTTGAATCATCATCTATAAAACGTATTCTACGTGCTGCTAATTATCCTAACTTATATGAACTCGGTCTATACAATATGAAAGAAAAGACAGCTAGACGTCTTTTTATCGGTAAGAAAATCTTCATAGAATTCCTTTACTCCTAAACAAACGAAAATTTAAGATAGACACAAATATTCTGCTGAAATCATTAATAAAGTTGCATAGATCATTGAATATATGAAAGAATTTTTATTCTAATATATATATGATGACGTTACAAAAGAATATTTATTACTTTTAAGAGATTTGTTTAGAGAAAAGAGAAATTATTTCTAAAAATAATTTGTTTCTGTCAAAGATAATCTTAATCTTTGATCTATATATAAATATATTTTGATATAATAATTGTATATTTATGTGTTTAGATGAAAGACTTTCATCTAGTATTTTTAAAAGGCAAATAAAAAGACTGATTATAACAACTGAACCCAATAAAAATTATTTATTGGCAATCGTAAAAATGTGCAGTCGGATTTTTTCTGTGTTTAACAATTTAACACATTTAATGTTTGGTGAATCATCATATGAAAATATTGTTCCCTTACTATTTGATGTTCCATCTCGAAGTTTTTCTTCTTCAAATCTTTTTACTATTAAATATCAAAGTTCAAAGTTTCTCACAGTTTGTTTATCTTATCGATGGTCGTTTCAATCAACTTCATACACTCATTGTTGATTTAATTAATCCTGCTTGTTCAATAGAAATAATAAAGAATAAAGTTAGTTTTAAAAGAAAATAAATTTGATTTTTTTTTTGTATCTTTAGACAAAAACCCCAAATCTAAAATGTTTTGTTCTATCATGTGCTTGGGAAATGACATATTTCGATGAATTTTTTTTGCAACTTCTTTATCGAATGTCAAATTTAGAAAAACTTGGTTTATATATTACGACCTATGTCCGTGATACATTTATTGATGGAAATTATTTGAAGAAAAATATTTTCAATCGTATGCCACAATTAAATGAATTTTCATTTGATTTTCGTTCTCTTTTATTTATTAATAATCAAATCAATTTCCCATCAAACGAAGATATTCAACGAACATTCACAGATTTTCAATATAATAAAATAATATCTTATGTTAATCATTTTCTAGAAGAAAACCAGGCTCAATGTCATGTTTATTCATATCCATCTCAAATCCAATATTATCAAAGAATAACAAATCATTTTCCAGGTGGAATATTTAAATATGTTCGTTTAATATCATTATATGATGAACATCCTTTTGAACATGAATTTTTTATTCGTATTTCTCAATCATTTCCATTTATTGAAAAATTATCTTTGATTAATAATCAAACACAAACAATCTCACAATTCATAAATTGTTAGATATAATTATCTTGTTACACTTGATATTGAAAAAGTTCATGATGATTACCTTGAAGAATTTTTATTTCATACAAAAACATATTTTCATAATAATATTGTTGATTTATATTAATTATAAATCATTAGAAAGAGTAACACACAATTTTACAATAGATTCAACACGAATTAATTGTGCCAAAATAAATAAAATTTATTTATGGGGAGAAAAGAATTATTCCAATTCTTTACGAGATTATTTTCCTCAAGCAATAATACCTTGATTATTATTTTATTCAAAGATCAATCATTTTACAAAAGAAAGAAAAATATTCTCAAGAAATAAATTAATATGATCATATCTTACAAATTTTTATCTGTCAAATAGATTTTTTTTTGTATTTAATATTTGAAATTAAAACAATAAAAATAGATATCCCTTAATGTTGTTAAATTTGACAATTCTTTTTTTATTCTTTTTTCAAATATAATCATTAGGATCTAATAATGACTTTCATCACAAAATGGACTTAATCAAACGTCACTTTTTGAAAAGATCTTTTAAGATTAAAAATTCTTTTTTTTAAATTGTTTAGTCAATTTCATATAGGACTTTTCTCATTAGAGAATTCGTTCATTTCTTTTTCTATTAAAATAATTTGACTGAATACTAAAAAATATTATTTTTTATTAAAGATGATTGGATGTATCTTATTAAATGAGATCAAGAGAAATATTTTATTGACAAATAAATTATTATATTCAAATAGACAAATACAAATATTTTTATTCTTTAATAAAAATAAACCAAGTCAAAATTTGCAAAGTTATTCAACGTATGTATAATATCATTCTTTAGATTCACTCTAACAATTCTTTTTTCTTTGTCTATCTTATCAACGTATTTTTCGCAATTATTTCATTTCTAATTAAAACTCAAATTAGATATTCATAATATCAATCAACCTGTTCCTATTTTACATTGAATTTGTTCATCTAACTGTATCATTTTATTGTTACGGATGAAAAGAATATAAAACAAATAAATCAATCATCTTCAAGATGATGTTTTAGCTAATTGTTCTGTATCAATTTTTTGATTAAACTGAGCTGCAGTTTCCGGAGTAACATCCAGTGTTTTATCCAGTGGGGAGGGGAAGGAGGGCATGGGACATTTTACCCCCCCCCCCCTTGAGACAAAGTTTTAAAAAGTCAATATAATTGTTCTAAAACTATTTTTTACGACAGATTCTGAAAGTTGTTAATAAATCTAATGTTGTTAAAATAGAATCAGTATTTTATCTAGCGTGGGGACAGGAGGAACCGCACTCTCCCGGAGATTGTGTTGGCTCTCTTCGGAATAATTTGAAATATCTTTCAGAAAGAAAAAAAGATCAGTGCAACTTTTCTACAACTTTTTGTTCGATGAAAATTTGCAGGAAATGTCATGTGATCAAAAATGAACAAAATCATTTACTGTAATAGAAAAATATCATATACAATATTGCAATGAAAAACAAATACCGAAAAAAGTAGTATTCTCCATAAATGATGACTCTCAATAATTATAGTGCTTTGTTTTTGGTATAACTCTACTAGTCTTGAGTTTTACCCAGGTTTAATGGTGACGAGCAGTAACTATTATTGATTAATTAAAAGGGTTCTACAAAGGACTGTTATGTGACTAAAAACCTATTGTCATGGCTGCAACTGCTGTAGTTTCAATAGGTTTGAGTCACTTATAATCCGCCATATATATGTTTTATTTAGCACCGATTTAGGAGGAAGATCGACATGCCATAACAATTGCGATTCAACTCATATCGTACGAACCGATCGAAAAGCGTCGGTTAATTCCGGTTACTTTTGTGACCGACAGTTAACCGTGATTATTTCTTTTGCTCTCAGTGTTTCACAGCGTAAAAAATGACGGTTAACCTTCCGGTTGACCGAAGAAATATTGGTCAGAACTGCTAACTTTTTCGGTCAACCAGGAGGTCAGCCGTGGTTAACCGTCGGTTTTTACGCTTTGAAACTTCCAGAAGAAAGGAAATAACCGTGGGTTAATCGTGGGTCGCAAAAATAACCAGAATTAACAGATGATTTTCGATCGGTTCGTATGACACGGGAACCTCGTGTACACCATTATTGTATCATTAGAGATCCTAAGGAATAACGATTTGAGACAGAAGCGAGCTTCCATTGATTCTTGGAGACATCATGAATCAACCATGTTCTATCAGATGGAACGTTGAGAACATTTTCATAGTATGGTCTTTAACTATTTTTTTGGCCCACCTTTGTTAATTCTAAAAACTATATGGTTTTGTAGCCCATGAAAAATACTATTGAACCAGCTATAATAGAACCTGGTTACTCCTGATTTTATATGTGAAAGGTTGATCTCAAAGACTCATTCAAATGATGAATTTATGATTGTGAAAATCCTTAAATGTACCAGAACGATAGCTCGAATCCGGGTATCAAAGTACTAGCCGCGAAAAATTCTTGCATCCTATATATGATTGTGATGAGTTCAGTTTGAAAAGTGTCATGAACCAAAATTATGTTCTTATGCATCCCTGTCCTGTTCTATTCTCTTTTAATGTTGTTTTTCAATTGTCTCATATTATTGTGTTACTGGTCTCACCATTTCTCTTTCAGTACCTCCTAAAATTATTCTATAAGTTCAACGCGTTGACTAGTTGTGCAGTACTATTCTCTGGTTTAATTCGATTGATACAAATACATCCAACGAAATTCTAGAATCTTGATCTTCGTGAAAAATTACATATTCTAAATCACCTAATCTTTTAGTTGTGTTCTTTTTGTTATTAACCTTTGCATTTCTTTTATCGAATTATACAGAAATGAAATTATGTCCTAGAAGAAAACAGTTTTTCTTGTAGTATATGTTTTAAAAAGAGACTCCAGAATCAATATTTATCCCAACATTGTTATATCGCATTTTAACTTTCGACTAATTAGAAAATTGATGAAATAGTGCATGATAATGTTGTTACAAATTCTTATTTATAGTAAAAGCTATCGGCTTGAAAGAGTAGGTGTCGATAAGGGTTCTCTACTCGGCAAAACATACACGAATGCTTACATCTTTGAATTTTTAGAGTTTATTGGGTTCTGTTTCGTTGTAGTCGATGACCGTTTAATTTTTATTAATGCTTGAATGTCAAAGTCTTATACGAACCATTAATAAATAGAAAAAGCTCTCTCTCTCTCTTTCTCTTAGTAAGAACATCTTGAATGAATTCGATGAACTAGTTGAAGAGAAAGTAAGAAATTCTACCATGCTACGGCAATATAAATACAATTCAGAGAACAATATTCATTAGTCAATAATTCATATAAGATAGTAATAAAACTTGAATAGAATGTGGGAACACTAATTTAGCGAAATGAATAAATAAACTATGTAAATGAATCAATGACGAATAATGTAGTAACAGTTTATTTTTACCAATAATTATACTGAGCCAAAACATCGATTTTTATCTTCCGATAGCAATGATACTGTACTTTATATTTCGATATCGATATTTTTTGTTCAAAAACAAACGAAGGTTTGTATTGAAAATTGAGAAAAAATATAATTGGTAGGTCCCATGTCCAAGCCTCGCAAAAATGTAGGAAGAGATGCACATTCGCACCAATAATTGAAAATTCTCCGTCAAATACCCGACCTAACTGTGTCGGAGACTATCGAATTTTGTTCTATCATTGTGTAAATGTCCAGTACACATAAGTTTATGATACAATATAACTTGATTGTTCAGCCCTCTTTTATAAACTAATAATCAATAGACAAACAAAATTTTGACATTAGCAAACAGCTTGTTGTTGTTAATAGACGAGAAATCAATTGCTCTTATCGAAGAGCTGAGGCATATCATCATTCTCACTCTCATGATGAACACCCTAGGTATAACCTGCTTTAGAACGTCAACTTATATTTCAATATAGTTACAAGGTTTTTAGATCTCGTTGACAATTCATAGTGACCTCATAAAATAGCTACGGTTTATATTAAGCATATTTCATATAAGATTGATGTTGTGTATCCCGATCAAAATGATTCTAGATTCAAAAGCACCAAAAATATCATTTAACTAACTTTCAGCTTGTCTAAACTGTACCGAAAAAGACAAATAATACCAAGCCATATATCAATATTATTAAAAATATATTATTTATCAAATAAAATTTAATTCAATTGTTTCTTCTTTGATTCTATAACTCGTCTTATATGGATTCATCAGTACACGATGAAACAGAAAACTTTTTTCAACATAAAAAGTGAAATCTAGAGATGATTGAAATCCTTAGACTTTTACACGTCTTTTCTATATTGTATGGATGAAACTAAACAATTCATTCAAAGAAATTATAAATTCATGAATAAATAGCGTTTAAAACAAAAAAAAATCAGTGAGCAATAAAGCTCAAAGATTCAGACGGTGATTAGATTCTTGTTATGTAGAATCACACTCGCTACTATTAAGGTAGAAAATCTCTGACAAAAAAAAAAAATTTTCATCATTTTCACTTTATTCTTTTCTTTGCATTTTCTTCAGAAAAAAAAATTAAGGTTTGACCCCGACGTGACTTGAACACGCAACCTTCTGATCTGGAGTCAGACGCGCTACCGTTGCGCCACGGAGTCGACATTAGTGAAGGAATAGAAAAAGAACTGGTTGTTCTCATACCCAAAGAAAACAGCACAAACTGTTCTATCCAATAAGTTATTTCTATTATTTTCACATCCAATCTTGATTAGATCGATATATATGCTAGTATATCGAACAATGACCGTTCATTTTATCATAGTTCAACCATGGTGAAGAAGAGAAAAAGAATAGGAAGAAGAAAAAGAAAAAGAAAAAAAAACGTTTTTTCTCTTGCATATAAACTACTTCGTTCGCATTCTTCTTTTCTTTTCTTTCTTCTTCATCATTCATCATCGCCTGTGCGTGCCCCTACCGCAGCCGCTATTACTATCGTTGTTG